ACTCTCTCACCTCCTTCAACTCTATCCTTAAATGCAATCTTAGTATTTTCCTGACCAGTTTATTTAAAATTGTAACCTAGCCACCTCCACTTCACCTTCCTTCAAACTCTCCCTACTCTCATTTCCTACTTTACATGCTTTTTTCACAGAATATATTGCTAGTGGACAATCAATATAATTAACTTACACATATATATATTATATATCTCCAATACAATATAAGCTCTGTAAGGACAGGGATATTTTCAGTTTTATTAACATGGTATTTGGGAGGTGTACAATAAATACTTATTGAATTAATGAATAAAATCATAAATAAGATTATCAGAAGTCTCATTGACTAGTTGTACAACCTTGAGAAATTACTTAATATTTCCAGGTCTAGGTTTATTAATCTATAAAATAAGTATTATAATATTGTTTGATTATATCCTAAGAATAATGACTGGCACAATAGCACTTATGCTTGAATTACCTATATTTGACAATACACATAAATATTTAGAGAACTGTGAAACTGCTTTGATTTCCTTTTCATTTGACCATTTCTAAATTGGCTTTGCCCTAGTCCAGGCAGGGAAGAGAAATAGACTTTGATACTGTTGATGATAGGCTGATCGATAATCAAGAGTTTATTAAAAAGAAATAAGGCTTTGGCCTTTGCTTTTATTGGTATTGTCTAGATAATGTTATCCTTTTCAGAGTATAATAAATTCTGGCTGAAAATGTGGTGGTTCACTTCCTAGGTCTTGAGATTGCAATTTTGCCTTCAAGAGAATGAGAGAAGATTAAAAGGCAATATTACACAGTGATTATGAATCAAGACACTGAACTTAGATTTTATAGACTCAGATTCTACTTTCATCACTTACCAACTACGTGATTTAAGTATATTAAGTAAACTCTGTAAACGTCACTTTCCTCAAACATAAAATGAGAGTGATAACAAATATATCTATCCTATCGGATTATCCTATAGAATAGATATAATCCTATAGGATTGCTTAATCCTACTGCATAATCCTATAGGATTCCTATAAATATTAGAGTGTATAATATTTGCAAAGTTCTTAGCACAAAATTTCATCCACAATAGGGACAAAAGTTTTTGTTTTGTTTTGTTTTTTTGCTTGTTGTTGTGGGCATTACTCTGTCATGTGATCATCTTCAAAACTGAGGAAAATGTAAAGGCATTGATCAAGTTACTCCAAGGCTTTTCACTAGAGTAATATTTTGACGTTGAAGAACACCCTATGTTATCTTCTCCCTATGAAATATCACTTTCTAAAATTAAACAACCTATATATTAATATCGTACTAACTACATGCCAAATCCTAAGCTATATGCATTTAGTGTGTACATTGGAGGTCGGTGCATGTTACAAAAATATTTAAGACACAGCCACTTGATGCAAGGAGTTCATAGGAAATTTTATACTATAAGACAACACAAAAACACTAAAACAGATATATGCACCCCTATGTTCATTGCAACGTTATTTATAATAGCCAAGACATGGAAACAACCTAAATGTCCATTGACAGATGAATAAAGAAAATGTGGCACAAACATACAACAGAACATTATTCAACCATAAAAAAGAATGAAATCTTGCCATTTGCAACAATGTGGAAAACCTTCAGGGCATTATGCTAAACGAAATAAGTCAGAAAGGAAAAGATAAATACCTTATGATCTCACTTATATGTGGAATCAAAAACAAAACAAAACAAAACAAAACCCAAGCTCATGAACAGAGAGAACAGAAAAGATTGATGATTGACTGGCGCAGGGGATTGGGGTGGGGGCAAAAAGGGTGAAAGGGGTCAAAAGGTACAAATTTCCAGTCATAAAATGAATAAGTCATAGGTATATAATGTGTAACATGGTGACAATAGTTAATAATACAGTATTCCATATTTAAAAGCAGCTAGGAGAGTAGACTGGAAAGTTTTTATCACAAGAAAAAAAATTAGAGCTATGTATTGTAACAGATGTTAACTGCACTTATTGTGGTGGTCATTTTGCAATACAGATCTTCCTTGACTTAAGATGGGGTTACAAACTGATAAACCCCTTGTAAGCTGAAAATATCCTAAGCCTCTCACTGTTGTGGCCTCTGCCAGTTGCGGAGCACAGGCTCCGGACGCGCAGGCTCAGCGGCCATGGCTCACGGGCCCAGCCGCTCCGCGGCATGTGGGGTCTTCCCGGACCGGGGCACAAACCCGTGTCCCCTGCATCGGCAGGCGGACTCTCAACCACTGTGCCACCAGGGAAGCCCAGCCTAGCCTCTCTTAAACATGCTCAGAATATTTACATTAGCCAACAATTGGGCAAAATAATCTAACACAAAGCCTATTTATAATAAAGTGCCTATTTTATAATAATTTATTGAATACTGCACTGAAAGTGAAAAACAGAATGGCTGTATGAGTAAAGAATGGTTGTAAATGTATCAGTGGTTTACCCTTGAGATCGTGTGTCTGACTGGGAGCTGTAGCTTGTTGCCACTGCTGTTGCCCATCATCACAAGACAGTACTGTAACATCTATGGATAGCCAGGGAAAAGATAAATATTCAAAATCTGAAGTATAGTTTCTATTGAATGTGTATAGCTTTCAAACCATCATAATTTGAAAACTTGTAAGATGAGCCATCATAAGTTGGGATCATCTGTACTGTGTATACAAATATTGAATCATTATGTTGTACACCTGAAACTAATATGAGGTTACATCAATTATACCTTAATAAAAGAAAATGTTCTCCCAGGTGTTGTAGTTGAGATAAAGGAGCTATTTCCCATCCTAATTTCTGTTTTAGAATTGCGAATTAAACCAATTTCAGGTTTAATTCCTTGACAAAATGACATGAAAGGCTGCTGTTAAATCAACACCTTTGTTAACTCCTAGATGTCATTGGAAGGTATTTTTCTAGTCCCGAAATATCTCCTGCAAGTTTATCTTTTCTGTTTGCATGACTGAATTATGGTCCAATTGATTTTTATTGGAAATGTTTTGGGTTTGGCTTTTGAGAAAACTTACCTACTTTTTTGGACCCGTTTCTTTGGACCCTTAGGTTTTTTGTGTAAAGAGGACCCTCAGGTTTATTGTGGGTTCCCTTCTGAGTCAGTCCAATCAGCTTCTGCCATTCAGATTTAGCATTTGAGTTTCCAACCAACAAGTGTATACAATGATATAGGTTAGGTAACCTTGAGCCATATGTACCCAAAAGAATTCTAAAGTCTTCTATGAATATTTGCTGGTATTTAACGGATTTAGAGAAATCTTTAAATATAACTCTTAATTCAGCTCAAGTCCAAGGTTTAAATTCTGTAGTTGCCCGCGCACCTGGCTCATGGGAGGGATAGATCTTCATAAGCAACTGGCATTTTGGGGTTTTTGGAGATCTCTGGTTACAGGTAGGAGTTCTGGACAAGGGGAAGAGGAAGGAGAAGTTGACTGAGGTGCAAGAGAGAGACCAGAAAGATAAGGGGGAAAAGAGAATGCGGGGTACAGAGAGGCAACTGAAGGACAAGGAGGGGGTGGGTTTGCTAAGAAAAGAGTTTAGTTTGCTAATTGCTCATTAGTTTTGGGCAAAGAATCCTAGTGAAGGAATTTTTGATTAAGAATTTCATTTGGAGGCCTCTGTGAAACCATATCTTGTACCTTATACACTCCAGGCCATAAGACAGAAACAAAATAGAAACAAAATGATTCACCAAGACCCCCCCAAGCTTGTTTTGCAGAGTACCAGAAAAACAGCACATATGAAAACAACTTGCTGACAGCCTCTTCTGCTGAACATCTCGAAAGCACCTGGAGGAACTAGAATGACTTATAACGAACTTTAGATGTCGCAGCAGAAAATCCACCACGTGTAACACACTGAACCTCACCCCCCCAAATTTGCATGTGCGAGCCATGAAGAGGCATGAAGAACAGTCATACATGTGCAGAAAACTCTTGAAACTTACCATTACTTTCCACAAACCATTTCCTAGCCTCCTCCGCCTCCTACTCCCTACTTATACAATAAATATCCCACTCAAAGAACCAATTAGGGAGACAGATTTGAGCACTGCTTCCCGTCTCCTTTGCTTGGCCGCCTTGCAATAATATTAAAGCTTTTTTCTCGCTGCAAAAGGCTGTTGCCTCGATATTTGGTATAGTCATTACACAACAGGCAAGAAGCCCACATGCTCAGTCACATCTGCATACCAATCAAAACTGCTGCCCACTGGTCCTGAGAAATCTTATTCTTTACTTTTCTAAGGCGCTTCTCAAATCAACAATTTTGTTCAAGTCAAATGTTCCCCAGAGCTGCCATTGAAGGTCCAAATCGTCCTCAGTGAAGTTATGCCATTTAGAAAGAGAAGTGCAAGAATTAGTACAGTACATATAAGAAGCAGTAGTTTTTCCTGGAAGAGGAGAACATTTAGTCTTCAATGATCCCATGAGAACCAGCAACCGTCGGCAGGAATATAATGCTTGTACACCTTGAGTCTCAGGTCCCCAATCTTATGGTTGGCCATCTCTGAACACAGATGTGATAATCTGCATGCCTCAGCAGGGCATAAAAACAAAGAGAACACTCTCTCTGGATCAAAGTCAAGATCTCAGGACCAAAACACCAGATGGAAGGAGAACTTTATCTGGCTGAGCAAAACTTCTCCAAACGCACACAGAATCAGGAAGAACATCTAACACTGAACTGGGTTTGTGAAGCCAGCTTGAACAGGTTTGTGTGCCCTGTACCTGTGTTCTACCTTGTGACTATTCTCCTTATGACAAACATTTTTAAATAGCACAACACAAAACTAGCACCAAGGAAAGCAAGAAGGAATGAATTCCACCAATTCCACCTCATTCCACCAAGGCTGCCAAACAAATGGAAACCAGTAGCAAAACCCAGGTGCCAAACTACAAATCAATAGCAGTTGACTGATAAAGGAACTCAACACAAAAGAAAGAAGAGTTCAAAGCCAGTACTGACTTACCATGTTGGCACAGACTTACAAGGCACTAGCAGGAAGGCACGAGGAGACTCTGTGGGTACCACACCTGGCAAAAGGCTGGGATCCACGATGAAACCAATGCAGATATTATGCTGGTGGAACCGCCAGGAAAACTGTAAAAATTAAGATCACCCAAATGAGGCTAATTACTCAGAACTCACTATAACAAGAGAGTCAGTTATCACCACATGCTTTTGATAGAGACTCAAAGGCAGGCAGGAGAGTGTGAAAGCTTTATAGTGAAAAAAAAAGGGAAAGATCAGGTATGCTCTGATTTGAGGTTGTTGGCATGGGAAGCTGGAGGCAAGCTACGTAGAAATGGGGCATCCTATGTGACTGGTCTGTGAAGGATTTGGCTTTCTCTGGTTGGTCCTGAGTCGGAAGTGGGCGCAAACGTTATGGAAGCTGGCAATTACTGACTAAGTCCCGACCACTTTTGGCCAGTTGCTGCAGGGGTTGTGGTTTGGCTTCCCTAGCTGGTTGCTTCAAGGTTGTGGGTCAGAGTTCTGTTTTTATATATGGTCTGGCCAGTGTCCATTTGTATATTCAGTCTCTCAACTACAAAACTTCTAGAGGAAAACATAAGGGAAAATATTTTTACCTTGGGTTTGGCAAACATTTCTTAAAGATGACACTAAATACACAATACATAAAAGAAAGAAATTGGCATATTGGACTTTAAGAACTTCTCCTTTATGAAAGACAATACTGAGAGACTGAAAATACAAACCCCTGGCCATCAAAAAATTTTGGAAATGATATATCTGATAAAGAACTTGTATCTAGATTATAGACAGAACCCTTAAAAGGCAATAATAAGAAAACAAACAACCCAATTAAAAAATGAATAAAAGATGTGAACAGATAGTTCACCCAAGAAGACTTACGGATACCAAATAAGTACATGAAATGATGTTCAACATAGTTAGTCATTAGGGAAATGCCAACTAAAACTACAATGATCTAACACTACGCACCTATTAGAGTGGCTAAAATGAATAACCATACTAGGTGCTGGTGCAGATGTGGAGGAAAGGAAACTCTCACATACTTCTGGTAGGAATAAAAAGTGCAGCCATTTTGGAAAAAAAGTTTGGTAGTTTTATATACTTACCATATAACCAAGCCATTCCACTCTTAAGTATTAAAAAAAGGCAACATATGATGTATGATATGAAAAATGTAGGCGATCTCTGTCAGTAAAAACACATCAGGCATAGAAATTCTTATTAACAGATAAACTAGGCTGGTTTTAATGAAAGCTTTCCAGTCAGCAATGACAGAAACATTGTTCAAGTACCCTATAGTGACACTGAAATTATTAGACACTATAAATTTTAGAGGTCAGTATTTGTCAAATTCCAAAGAACCAACTGTTCTATCTGATTTCTTGAGAGTGACCCAAGTCACGTACTCATACTCCACAGCCATCACCACAGACCATGGCACCTCTAAGGGTTCACCACATACCTACAATGACCATTCACTGGCCAATGAGCTGAGAGGTAATAACTAACCATGGTATGAGTTTTATTTGGAGGTGAGAATTCATCTCTTTTTTTGTCCCGTCTCAGAAATAGTGCAAAAAAAAAAAAAAAAAAAAAAAAAAACCGAGGCCATATAAGACTGTATGAGAAAATAAAAATCAATATGTGCTTAAAAACGAGCTCGCAGAGTAAGATCTTAAAACATATAGAGAAACAATACACCAGGAGAAGGAGTCAGAAGATGTCACGAATAATTAGATGATGGGGATATTAAAAAAGAGAGAGAGAGAGAGAGAGAGAGAGAGAGAGACAACGGTACTATCTGCATTAGACTATTAAACAAGCATGCTTTTTTTGTTGTTTTGTTTTGTTTTGTTGCAGTACGCGGGCCTCTCACCGCTGTGGCCTCTCCCGTTGCGGAGCACAGGCTCCGGACGCATAGGCTCAGCGGCCATGGCTCACGGGCCCAGCCGCTCCACAGCATGTGGGATCTTCCCAGACCAGGACACAAATCCGTGTCCCCTGCGTCGGCAGGCGGACTCTTAACCACTGTGCCACCAGGGAAGCCCAAGCATGTATTTTTAAGTACATACTATTTTTTTTAATTGGGGTATAGTTGCTTTACAATGCTGTGTTACCTTCTGCTGTAAACGAAGTGAATCAGCTATATGTATACATATATCCCCTCCCTCTTGGACCCCCTGGACCCCTCTTGGCCCCCAGCCCACCCATCTAGGTCACCACAGAGCAGTGAGCTGAGCTCCCTGGAAACAGCAGGTTTCCACTAGCTATCCATTTTACACATGGTAACATATATATGTCAGTCCCAATCGACAGATGAATGGATAAAGAAGAGGTGGTAAATATATACAATAGAATATTACTCAGCCATAAAAAGGAGCAAAATTGGGTCCTTCGTAGAGACGTGGTTGTAGGATGGACCTAGAGTGTCATACAGAGTGAAGTAAGTCAGAAAGAGAGAAACAAATATCGTATATTAATGCATATATGTGGAATCTAGAAAAATGGTACAGATGAACCTATTTGCAGGGCAGGAATAGAGGAGAATGGACGTGCAGACACAGTGGGGGGAAGGAGGGGGTGGGATGAAAAGTATATAACTCACAAGAACAAAAAAGACAGTAGGAAAAACTAAAAACTAGAATTTTTAAAGAAAAAAAAGCACATGCAGAAATGAAAGGTAAAGATTTTGAAATTAAAAATGCAATGTATATAACTATAACTGAAGACTAAAACTAATGAGCCTAATGATACATACATTTTAAAAGACTGAGTTAGAGCTGCATTAGGATTATATAACTGGAAGGATTTAACCTTCAACATCGAAGTGTGTGTGTGTGTGTGTGTGTGTGTGTGTGTGTGTGCGCGTGCGCGCATATGGGAATGGAACAAGTATAAAGAATAAGCTTCAAATTGTTAACTGAGCCAAGGGAGACAGAAAATATAGCAAAAGTAGATATAAAAATAATTGAGGTTAAAAGTAAATGTTATTTAAAGAGAGACATATAAAAATGATAGCCATATTTCTTAATGGAAATCATCTTGGGTTGATTTCAAACAATATGTGCTCTACTTAAAATTGTATGGAATGTCAGAAGATTTTAAATTGAGCATCAACCAATTATGTACTAAAAAAGGCTATTTGATTGTGAAAATACTTATCACTCCATCCCTGCCATCTACCAAGCCCTTAATATTTTAACAATGGAAGAGGGAAAAATCCGTATTTTTGTGCTCATGATGGCTTCTATGTGGCACAAATCTAATAGTCTTTGCTCTGATGTCTCAGTGTCTTTTCACATCTCTTTCACCTGTGACTTGACTCTACACATCACCCTACATCATTCAGTGGATTGAAAAATCGTCAACCTTAACTACTGGAATAACCATTTACAGAAATAATTTATAAAAATAACTTTACCAAAACATATTTTCTTCAATGACTAAATATTTTCAGCTAAAGAGGACCAGAAAAAATAATCTTCACACAGATAATCAATATTAGTTACCAACTGCATGAGGGTTCTTTTTCATCACATCTCTACAAAGCTCAAAATTTATCCTTGGCATTTTCATGTAATAAAAATTGCACATAATATAAATTCCTTATAATATAAATTACATACAAATACTTGAATAAGAGGTAGATAAGACTTTAGGTTCCTCCATACAACTTCCTTTAAAAAAATGCACCCTGGGAATTCCCTGGCGATCCAGTGGTTAGGACTCTGTGCTTCCACTGCAGGGGGCATGGGTTCCATCCCTGGTGGGGAAACAAGATCCCACAAGCTACGTGGCAAGGCCAAAAAAAAAAAAAAAATGCACGCTTACACACAAACACATACACACACACACACGCTATTAGCTCCAGACTTAACTACACCCAATGAATGCAAAAAGCACTGATTTCTAAAAGCAGTCTAAGTCATAGTTTTATTATAGTTTGTTTTTTTGCTTTCTATTCTATTTTTTATTCAAATTTCCTCCTTAGTGCCTGAAACTGTCAAGGATGATCAAGGAGACATATGACTCATTTTATTATGCGTGCAATTAGCTATTTTGCTTTATCATTGTGAGGTTGATTACTTTGACTTTCAGGTAGTTGAGGGTTTCTTTATTTGGATTTTAATGCCAACATTAGACCTTTAACGTCCCTGTTAATGACGTTCAATTCAATCTTTCATCTTATGGACGATGACATTCTGCCACAGACACCAGCTGGAGCCATAGGATGTCAGCAAAAATTGTGTGAGATCCTCTGGAATCTCTTCCTACTGTTAATCTCAGCATCTACTTTTTCAATCACTTTACATCAATGCATGAGTTTGACATGACCCTCTAAAGCTCTTGCAGAATGAAGGGGCTGGTTTGATCATCTATTGTGATGACAGATTCTCCAAACTTATTTCTACTAATAAACAATATCCTTTCATGAACAAGTTTGCCAAAGTGCAGCTGTAGAAGTTATAGACTCTAAGGAAAGCAACTGCACAGTTGGTGCTTTTCCTAGAAATGTAGATCCTCTGCAGCTTTGAAATATTTCCTTAGATTTGAATGATTTTTGTGGTATCATATTTATATAGATGTCAAGTCTAGATGTTTTTCCGTGTTTCACATCTTTCAGGTAACACCTGTTCTCAAGGATAGCATAGATCACCACCTCCATTCTCAATGTCCCTTCCAAAAAATTCAATACACTGTTAAACACAGTGAAACAGAGGTTACCATAGCATCTGGGGAACGTATCAATACCTATTTCTATCAGGAATACCAATGAAAAAAGTTACATAGGTTACATAATTCAACTAAATGAGGACACCGGACAGAAAGTACAGATAACATTTCAAAAACCATAGAATTGACTTGAAAGTTACAGCAGTTTGGCATCTGGAAAGAGAAGATATGGCCTAGAAGTGGAAGGCTGTTAATTATAAGCACTTTTCTGGGATAAGAAAAAGGTCTTTGCTAAGGGTGGCTTCAAACAGACTTGGGAGAAAATTCTGTATTCCCCTTTTAAGAGATGGGTTATATCGTCAAAGCTTTCCTTTATTTCCTTTCTTTCTCCATTGTTCTTAAGGATTAGGAATCTCAACAGCCTTGAAATC